TGTGTGGCACCGGCTATCACAGTTACCGTGGACGTGTGGCACCGGCTGCCACAGTGCTCCAGTACACTGCCAAGTTATCCTCGACCTGAGAAACCACTTTTTTTTTAATTTTTAAAATTGTATTACCTTTACTTTATGTGCACTGGTGTTTAGCATGCATATGTCTGTGTGAGAGTGTCAGATCTCGGAGTTACAGTTGTGAGCGGCCATGTGGGTGCTGGGATTTAAACCCCAGTCCTCTAGAGGAGCAGTCGGTGTCCTTAGTCGCTGAGCCATCTCTCCAGTCCCATGGCCACATTTCTTGACCCTCCTCTCCCTTAAGATTACTGTGCTGTGCCTCTTTCTATACCTGACCAGCTGGCAAAAGTGCGTTCAAATGCAGGACGTGAAGCTGACTTTATTCACTATCATCTTGTTAGTTCACCCTGTCACACTGCCTTGGTGAGGCTTCTTTTATCTTTTGATCTGCCATCAGACAGACAGACAGACAGACAGACATAATTTTCCTTCTAGCTTTAGATTCCCATGAAGCTGATATGGCAGTTGATATTGTACCTTCAGTCAAGACATAGAAAAAATAAAGTTAGATGGGGATTGGAGAGGTGCTTAGTAGCTAAGAACTCATAACTCCAAATCCAAACTCAATGCCCTCTTCTGGCCCTTGCAGGCACCTGTACACACGGGGGTATACACTCTGCAAAGTCTAGTCAGTAGTCTACAACTAAACTCCTTGAGTCCTGGGTCTGTGCTTACACAGAACAGCTTGGGTTTCTGTAGAAGATAGTCATGAAGCTCAGATCCCCATCCGTCAGTCATACTTCCTGTACACCTGTCTAATCACAACACGCAGGGAAGGGAACGAGGGTCTTCTGAGACCCAGGTCTTACAGTTTGTTTTCTGTGCTTAAGCAATCTTTTGACTGACTTTACAGTGACCTTAGCAGAAAACAGCCAAGGTTACGGCTTTCTCTTTTCCTGTTTGAGACAGGGTCTCACTATGTAGCCCTCCACTGGCCTGAACTCTCTGTAGACTAGGGTGGCCTAGAACTCAGAGAACCTCCTGACTCTGCCTCCTGAGTTCTGGAATTAAAGTCATGGTCTATGGTTTTCTAAAACATGCCTTCGTTCCTCCTTTTGTAAATACTTCAGAACCATATCTTTAAGCTCCTTAAAGACCAGCGGGTATTTAGGGATGGTCTACTGTGTGCTCACTATAACATCCCATCACTGGTAGCTGTTCTAGGGGACGTATTCCATATTTCATGTGACACGATGGGAGAGACAGTCCGACTGCCATCAGGGAAAGCAGCACAGAAGAGCGGATAAGCATCTTGTTCTGAAACGGACTTAGAATCCAGAGGAAGTAAATGTCCTTCATCCTCCCCTTCGCTGTCCTGGGCTCCCCACGGCAGCCGCTCCACCTCCAGCCCTTTAGTCCAGACACGGATCTAGATGGATGCTCTTGGTTTTGACCGCCCTCACCAGCCCCGTCCTCCTCTGCAGGGCTCTGATGCTGAGAGAACTAGTACACACTCGGGAGCCATCCCAGCCCTTCCCCTTCCAACTCACTCACAGCACAATCCTGGAACCCAAACACCAGAGAAGCAGGCAGGTGGCAGGCAACAGGCACAGCTGTTCCCTGCAGGGCTGCAAGTGGCTCACCTGCGATCAACCCCTGCTCATTTGTGCTTACACCAGACTTTCCAGATTGGTTCAGGAAGCTTAAAGACAGATAATTAACTAAAGGATTCCCTTCAGTGTGATATGAAGATCCATGTTCTTAGATTTTTATCTGCACAACGCAGCTTTGAGGGGAACTGGAAAGGCAGGAACTAACCCACCTTAGCTGTTATGATTGGCTGATAGCAGGCACACGCCTCTCAAAACCCACCTGGACTATCACCACCTGAGAGCCGCAGTCAGATCTCATCCTGGCATTGATTCTAACTCTTTATACACGCTGTAGGCTATGCTCCAAGTGCTGCCAACAGCCTGACTTGGCGGGTCACCAGGCAGGCTTCCCTTACACGCAGGGCCCCCACCCCCAAGGCGGGTCAATCCTCACAGTCTCCAGCTTTCTCCTGGTTTGTCTGAGTCTCGCCCCATAGATGTAATTCCACGGAGATCGATGGAACCGTGTAGAACAGGTTCAGTAGTGCTTTACAATCAGTCCTCTTGCCCTTGTTACCCTAGGGCTGCCAAGCTATTCCAGAGTAATAGATTAGTCCACAGAACTGAGTCTCTATGAAGAAATCAACACTTAAGTTTCCCTACAGGGGTGTGAGAGCCTAGTAAATGCTCGGGATCAGATTAAGTAATGCAGAGGGAAAAAAAAAACTTATAGGTAAAAATAAGCGGCCCTCTAATCCCTAATTTAAAGCCAGACTGGCTCTAGAATATTGCTAAATAAGCCACACCTTGGTCCGACACCCAGACGGTCTCAGGTTCCTTCACGGTGTAAACTCTCTTTCTCTGGTTCAAACCATAAATTCCTATGTTTGTCTCTCAACTGAGAATTATCACGGCTTATCAGAAAAATCTAACCTTACCAATTCACCGAATTTAACTTATATGATGTCTGAGGGTTACTATTCTTGCAAGGAAACACCGTGACCAAAAAGCAAGTTGGAGAAGAAAGGTTTTGTTTTGTTTCAGCTTACACTTCTGAACTGCAGTCCACCATCAAAGGAAGTTAGGATAGGAACTCACACAGGGCAGGAACCTGGAGGCAGGAGCTGATGCAGAGGCCCATGGAGGGGTGCTGCTGACTGGCTTGCTTATAGAACCCAGGACCACCAGCCCAGGGATGGCCCCACCCACAATGGGCTGGGCCCCTCCGTATCAATCACTAATTAAGAAACTGCCTTTCAGCCGGATCTTACGGAGGCATTTTCTCAATTAAAGATCCCTCCTTTCAGAGGATTCTAGTTTGTGTACCAAGCACACATGACCAACATTCAGTACTCCACAGGCTTCCCAAAACCCCAAGGGTTCTACACTGCAATCCCATCCGTGACCCACTTGTCTTTCCAGAGCTGACTGCAAGGACGCAGCGCACCCCAGCACCTCTTCCCCCCACTTAGAACTTTACCTCCCCTTTTGACTTTGTTTCTAATTTTGCACTTATGGAGCTGAAGATACAGCTCATTTGGTAGACTCCTCGCCTTGCAAGTACGAGTCCCTGGGTTCGGTCCCCAGCACCAGCCCTTTAAGTCTGCATTATCCAATACTGTGAGCAGTTTCTGGAAAGAAGGCTGACTCTCTCTGACCCACGTCGGGGATGCAACCGTGACCCACCCCGACGCTCCAATTCTCCTCGGAGAGGGAATAGAAGACTTTTTTTTTTTTTTAAACATTACAGCTCGAGGGTTTTAGGCAAGCCACCCTTAAATCACACTTTAAATCAGCCTTCCGGGAGTCCATCTTCAGACTCCCTTGGACAGGTTCGTCAATGGGGACGCCTCTGCCTCAGTTTCCCCGTCTCAGCTGGGTCACCGCAAGGCTCCGAGAGACTTTTGAACGGTGACCCTGCCTGCTCTCGACCCCATCCTTCTCGCTGGGAGGCCCGCGTCCGTTACAGCGGCTCCGGCACGGGCCCCGCTCCCGCGCAGCCGCCCTCCAGCTCGGGCCTCAAGCCGCGGCCTCGCCTGGCCTCGCGGCCCGGTCCCTCCAGGCCCTGAGGTGGCCGGAGCCCGCTGCCGCCTCGGCGTCTCCCGACAGGCCGTGTGTGCCGTACGCGGCGCCGCTCCGCAGCCTCCCCGCTCCCGCAGCCCGCCAGGCCGCTCGTCCTCACCTCACTCCCCGCCTCCAGCTGCAGCCACTCACGGTCCATCCCCAGCCGCCGCAAGCACCAGCTCCGGCAGGCCGCGATCTGCCCCGAGACCAAGGGGTCGGCCTCGCCCATAGCCCGCTCGGCACCGGGGCAGCGCTCAGCAACCAGCCAAACTCCAGCCCGGGCTCCGGCCGCCTCCGAGGCGCCTCTCGCGCACCATACCTAAACACCAGACAGAAGCAATCGCCCGGGGATCGGCGGCTCTGCGAGCGCGGGCCCGCCCCTAGGCTGGGAAGGCGGCCAGTGCGCGTGCGCAGCGGGAAGGCCGCGGCGGCTGGGCGGGAAGGGCGCGGGTGTGAGCCAGAAAGGACGAGCCTAACGCCTGCTGCGGACCGAGACCAGCCTCCAAAACCGTAAAACGTCAACTAATTGGGCTTGGAGGATGACTCAACGAGTGAAGTTGCTTGCTGCCAAACGTGGAGACAGGAGTTCGATGCTCAGGCTTTACCTGCATGGTGGCTGGGGGATGAGGGGGATCGGACCCTTCAAATTGGCCTCTGACCTCCACATGCGCACCCTAGCGGGTTTGTGTGTGCACACACGAATAAACACTTAAAAACTAGAGTAAATAGCAGTAAGAAACACTCTCTTTCCTGGGGTTCGTGAGTATAATAATGACTTATTTCCCAATACCGTCCTCTCCACGCTCTCCAAAGCCACTGTCCCCAGATCCAGCAGCAATAAACCGGAACCTCTTATTACCTACCACCCCACCCCTTTTGTCTTTGGCAGGGTGTGGTGGAGGATGAGGAGGTCAAGGGTATCCACCTTTACACAATGACTTTAGAGGCCAGCCTCGGATACGAGACCGTGTCTCCAAAACAAAAATTGCTTTATAACCACGTTCTGATGGTGGCACAACCATTTTATTTAAAACGATATCCTACTTTGAGTTGGGGGTAGGAGATTCTGAACATTGAACGCACCGTTAAGCATGCTCTCTGTAGCTGAATTATCCCTCCGCCTCATTATATAGCCCACTTTTGAGTGGTTTCTACAACTCTGATCACTGTAAAGTTGATTTGGTCGATTCCTATTTAACATTTTTTTTTTGCATGACCTCATTTTGTTACTGAATTTTTAAACATTAGACCAGGCAAATCTGTAGAAATGAATCACATTACCTGGGGCTCATACAGGGTTACAGAATGAATGGAAATGGGTTTGAAGGGGTTGAGGAGAGGATGCTACTCTCCCTCTTCTCTCCACCCCGAAGTTTGGTTGTCTGTGGTTGTTTAATGTATGGGTAGAGGTGTTTTGCCTGCGTGTATGTCTCTGAGTCAAGTGCAGACCTGATGCCTGCAGAAGCCAGAAGAGGTTCAATCCCCTGCAACTGGAGTTCAAGGGTTGTGAACCACCATGTGGGTGCTGGGAACCAAACCCATGTCTTCTGGAAGAGCAACTCATTTTAATCATGCCGGATGATGTTGATTTTTAAAGGTTTCCAACACTTTTTTTTAAAAGATTCATTTATTTATGTATTTATTTTATGTATATATGAGTATACTGTTGTTGTCTTCAGACACACCAGAAGAGGGCACCAGATCACACTGCAGATGGTTGTGAGCCACCGTGTGGTTGCTGGGAATTGAACTCAGGACCTTTGGAAGAGCAGTCAGTGCTCTTAACCAGTGAGCCATCTCTCCAGCCCATGAGTTCAAATCCTAACCCTACTGTTTACTATAGGAGCTAAGGAAGCTTTTTGACTGCTCCAAACCTTACTTTCCCAACTTGGAAGATGGAACTGACAGTTGCTACTGTGTGGGTTCTTCTTTCTTCCACCCTTTCAATCCCCTAACACTAGATAGGAGAGAAAAGGGGACAGAAAGGAACGGTGACTGTGCTACTGTTAGACACTTCCTGCTGATTAAGGGCATTGAATTCCTTGGGGCAAGTTTGATCTTTGCTATCAGGATGGATAATTTCTTCTTTCTTTTTTCCTTCCTTCCTTCCTTCTTTTCTTTCTTCTTCTTTGTGCATAGCTATTTAACAAACCAAGACAACAACAACCAACAGGAACCAACCAACAACCCACCCTACCTCTTGCGGCCCTAGAATTTATAAACCCTCTGAAAAAGTCCCCAGAATTCCAAATGTCACACAATCACAGAAACTCTCTGCTACTGGCAAAAGAAAAAAAAAAATCACACACCTACCAAAGCACTAGCACCCCAGCAGCACTAGTCAGCCTCTGTGGACAGTCTGAAGCAGCCTCATATCCCACACCTGGGACTAAAACAAACAAACAAATATTCTTACCATATTTCTTTCTTTCTTTTTAAGAAACCAAAACCCCAAAATTGTCACTACAGAGAGAGATGCTAACGACAGCACTCACTTATGGAGCTGTTTGGAGGATAAACTCTTTTTTTTGTTTTGTTTTGTTTTGTTTTTCAAGACACGGTTTCTCTCTATAGCCCTGGCTGTCCTGGAACTCACTCTGTAGACCAGGCTGGCCTCGAATTCAGAAATCTGCCTGCCTCTGCCTCCCAAGTGCTGGGATTAAAGGCGTGTGCCACCACTGCCTGGCTTTTCTTTTTTTCTTTTTTTATTTTATTTTTAATTTCATTTTTTTATTTTTTTACTTTTTATTTTTTAAAAATTATTTATTTATTTTATATATATGAGTACACAGTAGCTGTCTTCAGACACACCAGAAGAGGGCATTGGATCCCATTACAGATGGTTGTGAGTCACCATGTGGTTGCTGGGAATTGAACTCAGGACCTCTGGAAGAGCAGTCAGTGCTCTTAACCTCTGAGCCATCTCTCCAGCCCTCTTTTTTTTTTAATTTTTTAAATTTAATTTTTATTTATTTTTTTTGGAGGATAAATTCTTGTCAGATGTTGCTGGTCCTTGGTGAATACATGATCACTGTTGGCTACCATTGCAGGACACTGTAGTCTCAGCGTCTGCAGTAGCTGCCTCCTACCCCTGTGCTGTATCTTCATTTTTATTTATTCTGTATCATCATCATCACCAGTGGCGCTGAGGATAAAGCCGGAGACTTGTGCATTCTAGCCAAGACTTAGCCACTGAGCCACACCCCAAGGCCTCACCTGTGACATTTCTACCCTCTGTTATCCAAGAGACATAAAAATAAGAGTTTTCTCTCTTTAAGCTGGTAATATTATAAAGAGATCCCTTCAGCTTTAGACTTTTATCAATAAGCCACATCCAAGAAAGACATGTCTTTGAAAAACCTAAACCAAACAGTTCCCTTTGTGAGCAGGGGTGAGTCACTGGGCTGCAGATTCGCTAATGATGTGAACTGGGCTTCCCTGCATGGGGTTCGGCGGAGGTGAGCCAGAAGGCTTTTTCATTACATCTTGAAAGACAGGGCTGGGTAAAAAAAGGAAATCTTGATGTGCCTGTCTGAGGCCTGCCTTCTCCGTTCCCTCCTCTGCTCTCTCACCAGCCAGCTTTATAAGGGAAGCCTGCATTTACCTACCCTAGAGCTACTGTGAGGGAGGATGCAGACAGACACCTGAGGTTTCTGGATACTGGAGGGTGACTTCAGGGTGAGGTCCTCCTCCCTCCCCCAGGATGAGCCAATCTATGTGTGTCTGGTGTGAGCAGGGAGCTAGGTCTGAGGGAGGGCTCTACATTCTAGCTGGATCTACCTTTTATCTGACTCTTTTCTTCCACACTCCTCCGCACCCAGCTGGAGCCAGCTTCAATCGAATGGGAAACACTAGACCCCCTGCTAAGGCCTGCAACTGCAGCTATTCCTCTACCTAAACTCTGCTAAGCTACACATATTCCCATTCCACCCAAACTGGAAGCTTGGAGTGGAAAATTACTAACAGCCAAGCTGGCCCACGGGGTCATGTTTCCGACGAGCTTGAAAATGAACAGGAGGTGCAGAGACGAACCTCCTCACAATGACTGTTGAGGAAAAGACAGATGGAAGTGAGGGCAAGCCAGGCTCTAGATGGCACAAAGGAGTGACAGTCAGTTATGAGGACAGGGGAGGAGGGGCTCTCCACAGCCTGTGAGCTGCTTGCACTCAGCGCTCCACCAGTGAGTCCCTTTCTCTGTGCTGACACCCTGCAAAGCCATCAGCTAAACTAATTGCTCCATTTCTACTCAGTCTCCAGTGTTCTTACTCTGGGGTGAGGATCAGTGCTTCTCCGGCGAAGGAAAGGAAGCCTTTGGTTTCAAAAGGGAAGTGTTTTATTTACCGACCGACTTACTTACAGACCAAGGTCAGAGTCTCATGTAGCTCAGGCTTGCCTTCAAGTGCCACACGTAGTTGAGGATAGCTTTGAACCTCTGACCCTCCAGCCTCTCCTCTAAGTGCTAGGATTGCAGGTGTGTATCACCACCTCTGGTTTATACAGTGCTGGGGCTCAACATCCATTGCTCCGCACACGGTAGGTAGGCATTCTACTAATTGAGCCTTGGGAAGAAAATGTCTTAGAAAAAAAAACCAGAGGGGTGTGTGAGTGTGTGTGTGTGTGTGTGCGCGCACACACACATGCATGCACAGGGGGGCGGGGTGTGGAATCTTCTTTAGACAACTTGTGTACTAAATGCTGTTTTATGTAAACGGAACTGTATAATATTTCTGACTCCTTGCATAGCGCTCCTTTTGTAAGTACTTACAATGAGCCATCAAGTTCCTTCCATTCTGGAGGTATCTGTAATCAATAATCAGGGTGGATATTTTAGAACAAACTCAGTTCGGTATATAACTGCCCCCCATTCCTTTTCTGGCTGGTGCTGGCCGAAACATCCATCAGCTTGTAGATGAAAATGTGGGCTGAGAAACTCTTCTGAGCTACTTCCTGGCAGAAGTCCCCAAGAACAAAACAGCACAGCTGGATCGGCAGCTCAGGGATGAAAAGTGCTCATTGTTCCTCTGCTGGACCCAAGTCCACTTCCAAGCACCCATACCGGACAGCTCACAGGTGCCATAACTTTTGGCCTCAGAGGGCACTTCCGTGTATGGCAGACACACAGGCACACACATAAAAACGAGTCAATCACCAGAAGGTCCTACTGAAGACAGGTTGCCAGTGGCCAATGGCAGGGAGTGTCAGTCCCACGCACACCTTCGCTTGCTATGGTGTGGCTGAAGACACTAACCAGGTGAACCAGGAGGAAGCCTGCGTGCTTCCTGACCCTGCCGCTGTCG